TCTCGCCCTCCTGCCCCGTTCCTCTCGGTGTCAGGCGCGGCGGCGGCGTCGGCGCAACGGGCGGACTTCGTCCCTCCTCCTGCACCCCCCTGCTCCCGAGCGTGCACTCTTGGCTTCTCCGTCCTCCGACCCTTCGCCCCGGGGACTGGGTACCTCCTCCGGCTCAGCTCAGGGAGGAGCGGGGGCCGGTCTCCTGCTCGGCTGTCGCGTCTCCATGTCGGATAACCAGAGCTGGAACTCGTCGGGCTCGGAGGAGGATCCGGAGACGGAGTCCGGGCCGCCTGTGGAGCGCTGCGGAGTCCTGAGCAAGGTGAGCTGCCTAGGGGCCATGGGCCCATGCTCTGCCTCCCCGACTCACCTGCCGCGAGGGGAGCAGCTGAGAGCTTGGGGTGGGGCTGAGCGGGAGACACGGACTGTCCCGGTGCTGTCGCTGGGTGCAGGGCTGAGTGCTGCCGCACAAGTGCCTGGGCCAGGGCTTGGGCGGGGAGCGAGTGCTCGGGACTGCCCATTTTGCCTGTCCAGGGGCTCATCAGCCACTGCTGAGGTCCAAGAAAACGTGTATCGTTTGATATCCAGTTTGGGAGGCGCGTTGCACACCAGGACTTGAGACCCAGGGCGGCAGCAGTCTGAGTATGGGAATCTGGGTTGGGCTACAGCGGTGTCCAAACGACTGGGCATGGGAACTGGTTCATACTGAACCTCTTAAACAAGGTGGGCCTGGAAGTGCCTAGCAGAGTAAGGTTGAGGGATTATATGTATGCAGTTTGAACAGAAGCTAGAGCGACTCAGCTGAGTACTGAAATCTGCGGTGTAAACTATGTCAGGTTAGATGTAGTGAGAGAGATAAGTGTGGAGGACTTTGGTACTCTCCCTGGCACCCCCAACCCCAATTCAGAATAAAGCTATTTAATTGGCATGTGATGGGCACAAAGAAAAATTTCACAATAACCTGGAACATGTCAGAATGGATACCAACCTTTAATTGAGGAAGAAGAGCATTATTTAATAATAAAATATTTTTGCATAAGGCCAAGATAAGGAAAAGACATTTTACCTATTCTGTATTTTTAACAAATCCCTTTTCAATATTTCAGACAAGTACAAAGTCATTTGTAGGAATGTAGGTGGGTGGTCTTTTGATATTACATGATGTGTTTTCTTTTTTAATTTTTGCTATAAGAATCATACAGCCCTTTTTAACTTTACTTAAACTTTTAGAAATGATTGGACCTAGCAGTTAACTTGGAGAGAACGAGCTGGGGCCAGTCCTTGCTTGGCAAACTGGTCATAAGATACTAGGTCATGTGCAGCCACTGGCTGTTAAGAAATCACCCAGCTTCTAGAATTCATACTTTGGCAAAGCATTTGAGCATTACTTGTGGAATTGTTTCATATTAGACTTTCATAACACACCTTTAGAAAGTAATGGGACAAGGCCTAGCAAAGTCACAAATACGTCAGAACAAAAGCTTACAAACGTCAACTTTATTTTGTATAGTAGAAAAATTTTTATGGTATGTGTTGACACTGATCATTCTTGAAATTTCAGTGCAAGGTTTTCAGTAACATGAAGCCTCCAGTATTTCTTTAGATTAACAGTATCTTATAATTTAGGGATGTGCATTAAAGTCATTGTGCAATAAACATTTTCAGGTGGAAATAATTAGAAAATGGATTTTTGTTGTGATTCTTCTAGTTTCATTACTTTATTCATCAAATGAGGACACTGCCATATTACTGTAGTGTTGGTGTCAAGTATTTTATAAAAATCAGCGGTACTTTTGACCTATTGTTCATCACTTTTTAAAATATGTCTTTTTAACTTTATTTCTTTCATGAGAGAGACAGAAAACGGTAAAGAGAGGGAGGCAGAGAGAAACAAGCACCCTCAACATGGTCTCATGCCTACAGTGGTCATTACTGGTCCTTCCAGGTTTCCACCAGCCAGTATTCTCAGCACTCTACCAGGTGTATAGGTCAACCTAAGAACTGATATAGCTTCTGGCAAGCAGAACATTGTGCTACTGCTGCACTACGAAGGCCAGCCATATTGATCATCACTTTTTTAGGGGATGGAGGAGTGGAGTGACTGATGGAAAAAGTCCAGCATGCCAGTGCTGTATTTACTTTATACAGTGTAGCATAGGAGATGTATTGTAGGTTAAAAACTGAAAGACTCACCTCAGTATTTAAATGTATGGTACCATTGGCCATTTCCGTGGAAGGTGAATAACTTCAATTTTAACTATTGCTGCACATGTAGGAATAAATTAAGCTTTTAGTCTCATTCTTGTTAACAGCTATGAAATAAATTTCCCTGAAATTGAGCAATTTATGGTTATATTTTACATTATCAGGAAAGTCATAGTGCGTTTTTGTGTAGCGAAACAGAAAAATATGTCATGACTTTTCCAAAGACCCAATATTATATTTTCTGGAAGCTTTTTAATCAAGACTGTTTATTTTGTATGCATATTTTCATATTGAGTATGGTACATATGTTTGAGTCCTTTGTATTCACCTGGAAATTGAAGCAGGAGTTAGAACTCAGCATGTGTTCTTTTTCCTTTTTAATTGCTTTAGTTTTGCTATAGGGCACATGCTTGCTGGGGAAAGGGGGAGGGAGAGATAGATAAAAAGTGAAGAAATCATCCCCCAAGGGGGGATGGCCATGTTGTAATCGCTTCTCGTCTACTTTAGGGATTTGGGGCACACACATCCAGGGTAATTTTCAAACCACCAGGTCTGGGACTCAAACTGTGAAGTAGCCTTGTGGGATCCAGCTGCCTTAACTTCCATGGTACCTGTGGGCTGGTGTTCTTTTCTTTTTATTGAGTAATATACCTAAGTCCCAGTACTGATTTGTTTTGTTTCTCCTGCCCCCAAGTAGAGTTGATGGTAAATTTATATTAAAAATATACCAGTCCAGAGATTTTTGTTTTTGTTTCTCTATGACAAGTCAAAATACACAGAAATACCAAGAGGTAAATTAGTTTCTTTCTTAATTTTTTTTCCAGAGTGCGTATGCTGGACAGAGAGGGAGAAAGCACCTCCTCCCCCAACCCCCAGTGGTCAGTCACAGTCCTTTCTCTTCCATTTCTTTATTCTCTCAGGACTTTGGGCAGGCATGCACACATGTCCAGAGTGTTTTCTAGTCTGACACATCTGAGATTCGAACTGTGTGATAGGCTGTGTAGGATCTCGTTCCCTCAAATACCAGGCCACCAGAATGCCTGGAGCATATATTTTATAGACTCATTCCTTTTCTTTTCTTATTTTTTTTTAAGAATTCTTTTTTTAACAGTATTTATTTATTTTAATTTGACCAGAGAGGAACATAGCAAGAGAGAGAGAGAGGAAAAGTGAGAAAGCAAGCTGCCAGGTCTAGTACTCAGACCATAGTCAGCCATGTGGGAGTCCAGCATCCTTAACCACCACACTACCTGCAGGCCCCACAGTCATGCATGTTAAGAGAGACAGATGGAGAGCGATGACCTGATGCCACAATCCTCCAGCCTCCATTGGTTTTTGCCATAGGGCAAAAGTGTAAAGTGTAAATTTACACTGAAGAGTGTAAATTCTAAAAATGCTGGATAGATATTAATTCTAGTGCTTGTAACAAATATCAAAATGCATCATTGTTAAGAAAAGATTCATGTTTTGTGGGACTTCAGAGCAACTATCCTGGATAAAATGAATCTTATCCATCATCTTCTGAACTCCCTCCATCCTTTATAGATTACCTTACCTTCTATTTTTGAAATTCTATATATCTTTAAGAGTCCATCTCAGATACTGTCCTTTGCATAATTTTTTTGAGAGTTTTTGCTATAGAGTGCGTGTGCTTGCCAGAAAGACAGAGACAGAGAGGCAGAAAGTGAGAAATCACCCCCCAGGGTGATGGCCACACCGCAATCCTTTCTCCTCCATTCTCCTTTCAAGATCTTGGGCACGCATACAAATGTGTCTGGTGTGAGTTTAAGCCACCTGGTCCAGAATGCGAACCATGGTCAACTACATGGGAGTCCAGCAACATAGCCATTACACTAACTGCTGGTCCCGCATAATTTTTTTTTTCTTTTTAATTTGCTAGAGGGCACTTGTGGTCACTGGAAGGAGAATAAGCAATAATTAGAAAGCACTTCCCATGGGACATGAACAGAAAGAGAGAAAGAAAGAAAGTGAAACAGCACTTCCCATGGGGCATGAACACCCTGCAGTCCCTTCTGCTCCATTCTCTCAGGATTTGGGGCATTGAGTAATAGACCTAAGTCCCAGTATTGATTTGTTTTGTTTCCCCTACCCCCAAGTGGAGTTGATTTGGAATTTGGGGAGTGGGGATGATAAATTTATATTAGAAATATACCCGTCCAGATGTATAATAATCCATGCTCACAACCAGCATGATTTTCAAGCTGTCTGGTTTGGGATTTGAACTTCACAGTCGGCCATGTGGGATCCAAATACCTTAACTACCGTGTCATTGGCTGGCCCAAAACCTTTTTTTTACTGAGGATTGAGGATCTCCTGCTGTTGAATTCTCATAGAATTTTGTTTGTAACTTGTTTTTGACTCTTACTCTAAATAGATTTTTTTTTCTCTTGAATTTTTTCCTGTTGGACTATTGGCCACAGATATCACGGTTTCTCCTGTAGTGTCTAGCATATTGCCTTGTCTGCACTTGTAAAGTGGGGAAGAATGAGAGAATGTTACTAAAGAAAAGGAAAAATCTGCTTTCTAGATGTAATAATAGCAGGTAACACTTACTGTGTAAAGGGTCCTGAGAATTTGTTGGATCTTTTATAAGAAACAGGGGAACCAGCAGTTAGCGTAATGGCTATGTCGCTGGACTCCCACGTAGTCGACCGCAGTTTGCGTCCTGGACCTGGTGGCTTAAAACTCATGCCGGGTGCATGTGCATGCGTGCCCAAGATCCCGAGAGGAGAATGGAGGAGAAGGGATTGCGGCGTGATCATCCCCTCTGGGGGGGTGATTTCTCGCTTTCTGTCTCTCTTGCAAGCGCACCTGCCTTGGAGCGAAAACCTCTCAAAAAAAAAAAAAAAATAGAAAGAAGCAGTATAAAATTATGGATACACAATTGCCAGGACCCATCCTGTCACTTTATAAGGGATCTGTGTCCATGAGAGAGGTTAAGGATTAAGCTTCATTAGCTATGCATAGCTCTGCCTTAAATTAAAAAATACTGTTATATATGCCAGGCACTGTTCTAAGTCTTTTCTTATTTTTTTTTCCAATTGTTCATTTAATTTTTATTTATTATTATTCTTCAATTTGACTAGAGAGAGAGAGAGAAAGGAAGCCACCAGGTCCAGGACTCAAACAGTGGTTGGCCATTGTGGGAGTTGAGCGCCTTCACCATCACACCACCTGCTGGCCCTCTTATTTAATCCTTGTTTTTTAAATGATTATTTTATTTTATTTAATCATTCATTGATTTTTTAAATTTGATCAGAGAGAGAGGTTGACAGAAAGAGAGGAAGTGAGAAATCAAGCCACCAGATTCAGGACTCGAACCCTGGTCAGCCATGTGGGAATGTCCAGCGCTTTAACCACCATGCTACCTGCTGGTCCCGCTCTTGTTTAATCTTGGTAACTCTAAGACATAGAGTTTGTCAAAAAAACAAACCTATAAAAGGTAAGTAATTTGATCATAGTCACAATTACAGTTATGTCTTATGAAGGTTCTAATTGGAAATGAGGTATCATTAATCTATGGAATCTGCATGATAGGCAGTGGGGACCATGTAAATTTTGGAGCTGGAAACTCAAGAAGACTAATATGTAAGGTAAGTAAGCAAATATGCTTAAAAAGTAAGTCTGTAAGTTATGTAAAAGCAGAAGATACTAGAGGTAAAGTTATTAAGTGTTTTAATACTCCAGGAACCTGATAATTTTTTTTTCTTTTTTTATACCCCCCTTAGAGAACTCTTTGCTGTAGGGTACATGTGCTCTCCAGAGAGACAGAGTGAGAAATCACCCCCTGGGAGGATGGCTGTGCCACAATCCCTTCTCCATTCTCCTCTCAGGATTTTGGGCATACATACACATGTCCCCAGCGTGAGTTTTAAGCCACCAGGTCCAGGACTCAAACCATGGTTGACTACATAGGAATCCAGCAATGTAACCACTATGCCATCTGCTGGTCCTGGAACCTGATAATTTGATTGGAATAATTGAAAATAGAGAAGAGAGGAGCCAGATAGTAGCACAGATAGCTGCCTGGGTCTGACATCCTGTGAGACTGACCAACATGGGAAGGTTTCAGATTTGAGTCTGGAGACCTGCCTGAGGACACTAGGCACATGTGTACCCATGATCTGGGGCTGAATGGGAGTGGATCCTGATGTCGAGATGCTGTGGGGGTGCTAATTCTCTTTTTCTCTGTCTCTGGCTCATGGAAGAAGTAAATTTAAAAAGAAAATAGACAGAGTGAGAAATCACCCCCTGGGAGGATGGCTGTGCCACAATCCCTTCTCCATTCTCCTCTCAGGATTTTGGGCATACATACACATGTCCCCAGCGTGAGTTTTAAGCCACCAGGTCCAGGACTCAAACCATGGTTGACTACATAGGAATCCAGCAATGTAACCACTATGCCATCTGCTGGTCCTGGAACCTGATAATTTGATTGGAATAATTGAAAATAGAGAAGAGAGGAGCCAGATAGTAGCACAGATAGCTGCCTGGGTCTGACATCCTGTGAGACTGACCAACATGGGAAGGTTTCAGATTTGAGTCTGGAGACCTGCCTGAGGACACTAGGCACATGTGTACCCATGATCTGGGGCTGAATGGGAGTGGATCCTGATGTCGAGATGCTGTGGGGGTGCTAATTCTCTTTTTCTCTGTCTCTGGCTCATGGAAGAAGTAAATTTAAAAAGAAAATAAGGAAGAGGAGGCAAATGTAGGAGTTTAATATGAAGGAAAAAATGAGTTGGGTTTGGTAATGGGCTTTAAAGACTGAGAAGGGGCCAGGCAGATACGGAGTGTCTTCTATAAACTAGGCATTTTTATTATTTAATTCAGCCATTCAAACAACAGGCAAAGAAATAATCTCACAAAGGTTAAGTAACTTGTTAAAACTCTCCTTGTTCCAGTAGTAAGTAGTTAAATCTGTTTACTCCTGTATCTACTACTCTGTAGAATATGCTCACCCTGAACCACGATTTAGTCTGCATGACTGTACGAGTAGCAGTACAGCTAAGGAAATAGGAACATAAGGAAGTTCACCTTATAGGAGGAAGTGAGTTAACTTTTGTATATAACCGTATTTATTTCATGTTGATGTAGAAATGCTGCTAAATCACAAGCAAGTTAGAAGTAAGGAAGTGGTGATTAAGGAGTCTCTCTAGGATGTGTTAAATTGTTGGTTTAGGTAAGCACTTGGAGAGGGGTTGTAATGTTAGTTGAGTCTGTTTACTCCTGTATACTGTTTACTACAGTATAATTTTTTTCTTTCTTTCTTTTTGGAGAGAGTTTTGCTATTGGGCTTGTGCGCTCACCAGAGAGACAAAGTGAGAAAACCCCTCCCGGTGAGAGGTGACTGGCCACACCGCAGTCCATTCTCCATTCTCCTCAGAATTTTGGGCATACATGCACACATGCCTGGGTCTGGGATTTGAACTGCTGTTGAGTTCAGCAATGTAACCATTATGCCATCTGCTGGTCTCAACACTGCAGTATATTTTTAACAATCCATTTTTAATTATATTTGGAATCAGCAGATAGTTAGAATCATCTTATACTTAGGGCCAGCTAGTAGCTTGGTGGTTAAGATGGTTGTATCCCAAATGGCTGACTTCATGGTTCAAGTCCAGGTCCTGGTAGCTTGAAAACATGCCAGGCATGTGTGCGTATGAGCCCAAAATCCTGAAAGGAGGGATAAATGGTATTCTTTTTCAATGCCTGCATGTTTTTTAAGTCACTGAGACCAAGACTTGAACCATGTAGTTGGCTATGTGAGATACAGCCACTTTAATCATAAGTACATAAGCCATCTGGCAAATTACAAAAAGAAAAAAAAAGATCTATACATGGAACCCCAGGACAAAAAAATAAATAAAAAAAGTAAGTATTCTCATAGAGGTTACATTTTTCTCCTTTGCCTATTTATTGTGATTTTCACTGTGCAACAAGAAAATAGAAGTCATTTTAAAATTTTATTTATTTTATTTTATTTGTTATTATTTTCATTTGACTGGGGAGGTGGGGGGAGAGAGAGAAAATGAGAAAACAAGCCACCAGTCTGAGACTCAAACCACAGCCAGCCATGTAGGTGTCCTGCCCCCTTAATCACCACAATGCCTGCTGGCCCCCCACAGAAATCATTTTTAAGTACAAGAGGAAATAATCCAAGTAATTTTTTGAAACATACTTGGATTATTTTGCATTTATATTATTATTCTTGGGTTTGAAAACTTTATCTTCAGAGAAACTTGGAAAATGAATTAGTCTTTTTAAATATGTATTACTGAGTTCTGTAGTGGAAAAATTAAAGTTGATGTAGAAGTATTGAAGATTAATGATATAGTATTTTTACTTTGATGTAGTTATAACCATCATAAATTTTCATTTGGGAATAATTTACAGAAAAACTAGGATTTTGGCAATAATTAGCTTTGTACTTCTGTTGATTTAGAAGGCTTCATGCAGTACTTAGTGTAGGAGAATGAGAGACTATATAACTGAACATATTTTTCTATTAAATGTGTTAATTATGACAGTAATCAAAACAATTTGTCATGAAGATGGTGAGGAGGGGAGGATGAAAACATAATAAAACAAAATTTTTCATTGAAATCTTGCTTTGGTTTTATTCTTCAAATGTTAGAAGAAAATGCTGTATTTTATTTTTCTCTATTAATAACATTAAAAATTACTAAAAAATTATCATACAACCTAAAAAATCTCAACTTTTTCCCTTTTTTTGATCTTATTTTTTTTATTTGATTAGATTTTGCTATAGGGTATGTGCAGTCGCCACAGATAGACAGGGTGGGGATGGAGAGTGAGGATAACCGTCCCACAATCTCTCCTCCTCCATTGTCCTCTCAGGATTTTGGGCATGCACACAACATGTGCCTGGCATGTTTGTCGAGCCACCAGGTCCAGGACTCAACCTGCACAGTTGGTCATGTGGGATCCAGCTGCCTTAACCTCCATGCAACCTCCATGCAACCTACTGACTCTCAACTTTTCACTTTTAAAAAAGTTTGTTTATTCATGCTAGAGAGTATAGGTCCACACTTGTGCATGAGAAAGAGAGAAGGAAAGAATTACTTGAACAAGATCTCATCATGCCAGAATCCCCTTTCTTTAGACTTCTGGCTTGTCAACATCTTGGGCGTACACCCAAACCCACAGATGGCCATGTGGCTTTCTTCACTGCACTTCAGTTTGCTACAGATTGTACCACCAGGCTGGGCCTCAAGTTTTCACTTTTTATCATCATTTTACTGTTTATACTGTATAATTAAGTTAGGACTTTCCACCTTTGCTTTTCAAACTAGATCACTATTTCAGAAAGTTTGAACTTCTAAAATACTGACTTTTTATTTATTTTTCCTCTCCCCTCTCTCCCCAGTGGACAAACTACATTCATGGGTGGCAGGATCGTTGGGTAGTTTTGAAAAATAATACTTTGAGCTACTACAAATCTGAAGATGAAACAGAGTACGGCTGCAGGGGATCCATCTGTCTTAGCAAGGCTGTCATTACGGTAAGTTCCAGTTCTTCATTCAAGAAATATTAAGTATCAGCTATACATCAGGAACTGTTCCAGATACTGGAATGCATCTGTGTACAGAATAAAGTTCCTTGTCCTGAAGTGCTTAAATACAGCTATTTTTTTCTAAATTGTTACTAAAATTGTTTATTACTACATACTGTTGTTATTTTGTATCAGTATATGTATTTATCTAGTTGGTGTATCAAACTAGTTTAAGGACTTCAAATAAAAAGATGATAAAACATTGATATCTGATAAGATTGGGATAGTTATTTGGTGGACCAGCAGTTGACATAATGGCTGTGTTGTTGGACTCCCATCTGGTCGACTGTGGTTCAAGTCCCAAGGCCAGTGGCTTAAACTCAGGCCAGGCACGTGTGTGTGCATGCGCGAGAGGAAAATGGAGAAGAAGGGATTGCAGCATGGCCATCTCCCCCCAGAGAGTGATTTCTCTCACATTTTGTCTCTGTCTCTCCCTGCCTTTCTGGCAAGTGCACATGCCCTATGGTAAAAACCTCTCCAAAGGAAAAAAAAAAGATTGGGATAGTTATTTGATAGGTTATTGGAATGTTAAAGCAATAAAACAAAGATAGCATTTTTAAACTTTAATTTAAAATATGTAAGGTATATTTATTTGCCAACTTTTTGATATGGAGTTAATGCCTTCTCTCTGTGGTTTTGAGAGAAGTTGTTCTTGTGTAAACTCTTGGATCATTGGAAAAGTCATAATGTATTTTTGTTTTTCTATGCAAAAATACATCATGACTTTTCTGACACCTAATATATCCCTAATGCATGATATGTAATTTCAAATTTTGACTTCTCTAATGTGGGATAAAAGATTGAAGATACTTTTTTTTTTTTCTTTTAATATTGCCAAAGGGCACACGCACTTGCTAGAAAGATAGTACCCCACAGTGAGGTGTGATCACACTGCAGTCCCCTTTCCATTTCTCCATTCTCTTAGGATTTGGGGCACACAACACTGGCATGTTTTCAAGCCACCAGGGCTGTGATTTGAACTACTGTTGGCAGTATGCGATCTGGCTTCTTTAACTACTAGGCCATGGGACTGGCCCCTAAAGATACTTTCTAAAAACCTCTAGTATAGTCTATTTCTGTTTTTGTGTGTTTTTTTTTTTTCTCTTCTGTTACTTTGCAGTTATCTTTAATTCAACACCCTTTAAAAGAATAACTCATCATTATTAAGACATTCTAGGGACTAGCATGTGGCTAGATAGTTAAGGTGCTGGACTTCTATATGGCTAACCGTGGTTTGAGTCCTCAACCTAGTGGTTTCCTTTCTCACTCTCTCTCTCTGTCTCTGTCTCTTTCTCTCTTTGGCGAGTGCATGTGCCCTATAGCAAATTAGAAAGTAATATAATAATAAAATAAAATAAATAATTCTTTTTTATTAAAAAAAAGACATTCTACTTAGTTTACATTAGTTTGGTTTATACTGGAGTAACTCTTTTTGTACTTGTAGTCCATAGACTTAGATAATGTTTACGTTATGTAAGGACTATCAACAAGTAAACTGGCATAAACAGGTTTGTGAACAAACAACTGACATATTAAGCATGTGACTTAACTAGTGGGATCAGAAGTACCTCATTATACCAAAACAGCGTATTAGTTGAGAGTGGCAGCATGCCATAGGCATACTTAATGAAGGGCAATAAAAAAAGGTGTCGACTACAGTAGGGCAGTCAAATGGAGGTCAGTTAAGGAATATATTTTTAAAATCCAAAAGTGGATATGCTAAAACAAAATAACTATAGATTTTACTAACCTATTCAAGGAAGAGTCATATTTTTCTTATGATAGAATTTATATTCCTTATAAAAGTAAAAGGTATACTTTGGGTTTTTATTGATCTAAATTTGACTCATACATATTCATATTATGCATTTAAGGAAAATCTTGCAGTATTTTTTCATCATTTTTCATACATTTTGACACCCTTATATATTCAAAGTTTGAAAAGAAAAGCTTAGTTGAACATCAAGTTGGAAAAACAGGAATTATCTTGAAGTGTTTGATAATGAAACGACTACTCTACATTTTAGAGACTTTTTTTTACAGAGAGATTTTTGCTATAGGGTGTGTGCGCTTGCCAAAGAGACAGATAAAAAGTGAGAAATCACTCCCTGGGGGGATGGCCACACTGCAATCCCTTCACCATTCTCTTCTTGAAATTTTGGGCGCACACACCCAAAATGTGCCTGATGTGAGTTTTAAACCATTGGTTCTGAGAAGCAAACCATGGTTGGTCATGTAGGAGTCTAGCAGTGTAACCATTATGCCATCTGCTGATTCAATTTTAGAAATATTTTTTAAAAAGATATCCTAAACATAAAGACTCTGTTTATTTTGACTGATATGTGGTACATTGTAGTGTTTTTTGAAACTGTATGTAGTTTAATATTTTGAGTTTTTTCACTTTTGCGATAGATTATTATTCATAACATGGGACACATAGTATATAAAAATATACTTTACAGTCTTGAACTGTCTTTTCTTTGGTTCTTTCCCACTTGTCCACCCTTTCTTTTACGTATCATCAAATGCTTATTAGGTGCATTGTTTGACTCTGAAAATAGTATGTTGATGGTTGATATGAAAATAGAAGGAATTGAAATTTTATCTGTAGACTTAAATATGGTTATATTGTCTTGAATTATAGGCTATAATAGTTCATGGCTATTCGGAGAAAAAAATTTTAAATATTTATTTAATTTTAGTTATGATGATTATTTTTTAATTTGCTAGAGGGCATATGTGCTCTGCAGAGAGAAACAGAGAGAGAGGAAAAATGAGAAATCAAGCTGCCAAGTCTGGGGTTCTTACCAGGGTTGGCCATATAGGAGCCCAAGGCCTTAAACTACCAGACTACCTGATGGCCCCGAAAAGAAAAATTTTAATAAACGTCAACATTATATCTGCTCAGGAAAAAAGTTTATTATAAAAATTTTTTAAAACATTTAAAAACTTTCATCATGATACAGAGTTGAACTGGGTAAGAAAGTAAAATAATTTGAATACTGTTCTTGGAAGGAAGGATTTAAAAGTAACCAGTGGAAATGTTTAGTGGGCTAAGTACCTAGTAGACAGGTAAAAAGATGAGTGGGACAGCATAAAGAGTGATAGCCGTAGACTGAAACAGATGAGAGAAATGCAGTCATTTACCTGACTTTACCTTTGACTCTATTACTTGCTTTATGGGTTCACAGTCTCCATGTTAAATATTTCATGGAAATTTTAAGATAAAACTGAATTTGGTGGGAACTAGCAGTTAGCGTAATGGCTATGTCGCTGGATTCCCACGTAGTTGACCGCGGTTCGTGTCCCGGACCCGGTGGCTTAAAACTCACACCGGGCGCGTGTGCGTGCGTGCCCAAGATCCCGAGAGGAGAATGGAGGAGAAGGGATTGTGGCGTGACCATCCCCCCTGGGGGGTGATTTCTCGCTTTCTGTCTCTATGTCTCTCTTTGTCTGTCTGGCGAGCGCACGCACCCTACAGTGAAAATCTCTCCAAAAAAAAAAAAAAAAAAAGTGTATTTGGTGAACTTCTCAGGGTGAACTTTACAAATAGAATATATAATTTAGTTAAATTTTTTTTAAAGTATTAATCTTTGTTGAATACATATCCCTTTCTATTTTTTTCTTTTCTTTGTTTCCTCTTAAGTTTACTTATTTCATGAGCAAAAGAGGCAAAGAAGAAGTAAGAGAGTGGCAAGCAGTTGTCCACCCCAAAACAGGGTCCACATGCCACATTCTACCCCCAGCTTCAGCTAGCTCTTATTACAGACATGTATCACATGCATGCATAGGGAGGCCTCAGAACCTGAACCCAGGGCCTTTGTGGGTCCAGCATTGCGAGAGTGTTGTATTAACTGCTGCGCCAATGGCTAGCTGCCTTTTTATTCCTTAAATATAGGCTATTGCCTATATTACTTAATCTTCAAAGGCAAAAAATAAATGTTAATGTTAAATTTATTCTTGGCATCCTTATAAAACCAATAGTATTCATATATGAAGAGATCTGGACTGGAAGAGTATTGACTTTACTGTAATCCTTCATTACTATGTATTATTTGTAGGTGGACCTAGTGTCTAAAATCATATTTTCTTATAGATCCTAATTTATTATTAACCTTTATTTTAGTTTAACAAGTCATTCTTAAAAAAATCATATTTGGTTGTGTGATAATAAACTGGGTGAAATGCTTTTAAGGAACAAAATATTTTCTGAGAGAATTTGTTCTTTAATGTGAAGGGAATTGGGAGTAAGCGGAAGAGAAGAAAAACAATATTTCTTCATTTTGTGGGGGGAAAAAGATATCGCATGTGGAAGAAATGTTTGTAGAAAGTTGAATTTTGGAATTAGCAGTGGCATGGTGATTGAGACACTGGACTCCCACATAGCCAACTGCAGTTTGAGTCCTCAACCCCGTGGTTTTAAACTCAAGCCTGGTGGCTACATGCATGCCCAATCTTTTTTTTTTTTTGGAGAGGTTTTCACTGTAGGGCACGTGCGCTCGCCAGACAGACAGAGAGAGACATAGAGACAGAAAGCGAGAAATCACCCCCCAAGAGGATGGTCATGCCGCAGTCCCTTCTCCTCCATTCTCCTCTCGGTATCTTGGGTACGTATACACACGCGCCCGGCATGAGTTTTAAGCCACTGGGTCCGGGACGTGAACCACTGTCGACTACGTGGGAGTCCAGTGACATAGCCATTACGCTAACTGCTGGTTCCCATGCATGCCCAATCTTGAGAATGGAGGAGAAGGGATTGTGGCATGGCCATCCCCCATGGGGGATGATTTCTCACTTTCTCTGTCTCTCTTTTTCTCTGGTGAGTGCATGCACCCTTTAGCAAAAATCTCTCAAAAAAGAAAGTTGAATTTCTCAATTGTTGTGGTTTAATAGTTAATTGCTTAAGATTCTGCCACTGCTACAAAACTTAGCATATCAGATATTCAGAA